GGAACAAATGATCAATCAATCATAGGGTGACCATGACTTCTCTATTTACACCAACACTCTATCTCCACTAGCATTAATGGCTGGAAAATGAAAGCAAGTAAAAGATTCAATCAAACGTTGAGGATATGAGCGATTAGACCATAGACGTTGGCCATGGAAAGATATGAGTGTTGTAAGACTGTGGGGTGGCCATAGCATTCACTAGGGCGCCAGATAGATTGGAGTGTTATAAGACTGTGGGGGTGGCCCATAGCATTCACCGGTTCTTGAGTAGCTACGAGGGTATGACAAATCTATGATTTGGCTTGAGGATTTCATCAGGTGGGGATTAGACCAGGGTAGGTCAGGATGTGAGGCCATGAACGACACATCATTTTTGGGATTAAGGAAATGGTGGGCCGTATGAGGCCGGTTGTGATATAAGACTACAGATGGTCATGTAGCAGTAACTTTTAGCATTGGATTTGGTGATGTCAGGTTTGACGGCTTACTATGATTGGTTGAATCAGAAAGGTTGTTGGAACCATAGTGACGAAATAGCTAAGGAAATTGTTGTCAGATGAGGTCTTTGTTCGGAAGTCGCATGGTGCGACTGTGTGAGACTACTTATCTCCGTAACCAGGTGGAAATCCAGTGAATCGGTTATTCGGCAGGTAAGATGGGACCTAGGAGGTCTCGACTGCTTTTGGAAAGCAGCTAAGGGGAATCAAGATAGGTCGAGACAGTATTAGTGATTTAGGACTCAAGGGTGGAGTCGCACTTATTCGATAAGTATGTTAAGTCACTTGCAGCTTAGATTAAATAATCTCAAAGTAATTGATTCGACCATACTGTAGAGCTCTCATATGAGTCTAACTATTGCGGGGATGAGTTGTAAGACTCGATTTTGAATCGCTTCATTATTCGGGGCCATGACCCGAATCATTAATTATAATAACGCTTCAGGCCTTAAGGGAAGAGATACTAGCTCTTTTTGGATTATAGTATTATAGATTAAGTGATCTAAGTGTTCGATTTTGTTTCGGAGCCCAAGGGTATATCAGTGATTTTGCAATTCGAATCTTTACGAATTTTAGGTTTTGTTCTGGAAGTCTTAAGGCGAGGATGAGTTGATAAAAGTGTATAGCTTCTCGTTATCTTTCCGTGGATATAAAGAACGTCGAAAAATGACTTAGAACGAAGGAGTTATGTGTTACACCCCCGATCCAGGACGGCGAAAACGTCTGGGGGCGGATGAGGTCATTGTATTGTATCATCACAACTAAATATAAATGGACATAGCCACCAAACGACATACATTAAGATTATAATCTTCATAAGTTTACAATTTGTAATTGTTCAAATGATACACAAAATTGACATAATTGTAAATTTCATAATGCAGCAAAATATCCAAAATCCATGGTTCGAGTACATGCTTACTGGTTTCCTGATAATACAAGTCGTTTTGAAAAGCTTCAACATAGAATATTGGTGAGTTCATAAGCATTTTATTATGAAAATAGTTTGTATATGTTTTGCTTGACAAAAATTTTGTATGCTTCCAGAATATCCAATATTTTCCATAAAAGTGAATTGTATGTTTGTTTCCAAAACCAAGAATATATGTATGCACTTTTCCTTTAAATCATGTGAATGTATGTTCCCAAAAACTCCCATATTTGTTGATTGTATGAAACTGTAGTCTTAAACCATAAGACTGGATTAGTGTCAATGAAGTACTGAAATGGTGTTTAGTTTTATAATATATAAAACCAGTGAAGTGTAATTTATTTTTGTAAATCAAGATAGTGTTGTTAATCACTATGTAAGTCATTATAACCAGGCTTGATATGACTGTTATGCCTGTCATGACATTCTTCAGGTGTCGGATGCGGTAACATATTTGTCACCCTAGACTGGCCCCGTCTAGCTGTAGCGAACAACTTAGGCGTGGGTGTCAATCCCCATATAGATCTTTACACAATTATCTCGCTCTCCCTCCAGGAGACTCTGGCTATAACTATAGGACTTAGAGTGTACACTAGGTAGGTACGGTGAATATAGTGTCTCACTAGAGCATTAACGAATTTACGCAAATTTCGAATCTATTTATTGTATAATGAAATAACTGTACTAGTGTAAATTCGTGACACACAACTTATTACTCATGCAATATGAGTTTTATGTCAGACAGTTTATGACACGCACATTTTTCTGTCATAAAACTGTTTTGTATATGATTTCTGTTAAACCATTTACAACATATTATATAAATAGACTTTGGTGAATGTGTCTAGTTGTAACATATGTTGCATAAGTATCATCTTATCTTGGGTTATAAACCATCCAAAAATGATGATAAACAAGTTTATGATTATTTTAGTAATAACATTATTTTTATTAAAATATCAAACTTTGTGATTATTTTTAACATCCTTTTTACCGATTTTTGCAAGTTTATAACACAAAATATGTTGTTTAAGTTTAACTCAAATCTGTCAGGACTTTTGTAACACCATAAATGATAAACACAATATTTTATCCAAATATAAGTGTAGATTTTTAAAAGGGGAGTATGTATGTATCCAAAAGTACATGGATATATATATATATATATATATATATATATATACACTATGATTTCGAAAATTTTGAGTGACCAAACCCATGTCCACAAATTTTTGTATAACAAATGTGTTAATGAACATGTGCATCATGATTTTTATGAAGCTACATATGATAAATACATTTTTACACAAGTATTTCAGCACATAACTATTAAGCATGCAATTATCCAAAGGATAAATTTAGTCTATTAAACATGAGACTTGTAAATCTCGAGTTTATGGTGTATCAACATGTGATATTCAACATTATAAGCTCAAACTGTAACACCCCATTTATGGTATGTGATTTAAATAAAGTAATTTTCATTTCTTAAGGGGGGTACTCGATGAGTCAGCAACCCAACTCGTCGAGTAAAGACGGGATTTGCACCCGATTTAAGTGGGCTACTCGGCGAGTCTGCTAGTCTGGATGAAACCCTAATTTCAATGGTCTGCACCCTATTTAAGCAACTTTATGCGCCACAAACCAGCCTCCATGTCCCTTAGAATGTCCCTTACTAAAGCCTTGCCTTCCTTTAAGCATTCTTGGAGTATTTCTCATTCTGTGAAGGATTTTGGTGCATTTTGAAGTTAGAAGATGAAGAGAGAAGAGGGGTTTTCTAGAGGAGAAAAGAAGATATGAGTTTCTTTTGTCATTCTAGTTTCCATGAAGGTATAAAGCTTGAATCTTTGCTTCTCATCATGTAGATCTCCTTAAAAGCTTGCTAGTGTTTTTTTTGAGCCTTTTTCTAAACATTAAGGTGGATTTAAGGGTAGCTAAGATGAATGGGTTTCAGATCTAAGCATTTCAGGACTCCTTAAGCTCAAGGTTACCACCTTTATTGAGCTAAACACCCATTCCAAACCTAAATATCTTCTTTTAGCTCTTTAGTGGGAATTTGAGCTTCTTATGAGCATGCATGAACGTAAAGTTAGAAACTTTACGTGTGAAATCAGTCCTACGAACCCAGATCTATGAATTGGATGCACTGGAATCGCGCAAAATCGAATGTATAGTAATAGCATGATTGGGACTCGGCGAGTTGTTATTCAGACTCGACGAGTCGAGTCGCGAGTCCCCGGTTTTTCCTCGATTTGAGAGTTTAGGGTGAATCAGTGAGTAGGAATGGACTCGGTGAGTTAGAGTTCAGATCTAGTGATGGAGGGACTCGGCGAGTCTACTCCCTGACTCGGCGAGTCCGGTCAAGTGAAAGATGACTTTGAACAGGAAGTTGACTTTGACCAGGGGTAAAATAGTCATTTTACCTTGAGGGCAGTTATCAGTACCTGATCTAGTGTTTTTAGGATTTGTAGCCGAAGAGTTCCCACTACAAGAAAAATCCGAAATAACTACGGAAAAATTCCGTAGCTAAAACATGATATTTTGTAGTTAAGTGTGAGTAGAGACGAAATTTGCTATGGAACCCATCTGTTGCAAAAATATTCATTAGTAAACTTTTGTTACGGAATCCGTAGGACTTTCGCAACGGATTTTGCAACAAACTTATTCCATAGCAAAATACCTACAAACTATATTCATAGCAGTGACATAGCAAATTGTTTTCCGTAACATGTCTGTAGCAAATTACCTACGACCCCGTCCGTAGTTAATCTGTCACAAATTAACTACAAACCATACCCTTAGCTAATTTTCATAGCAAATCTACTACGGGTAATATCATAGCAAATATTCCATAGTGGATCTACTACGTTCTAATTTCGTTCTAATTTTGTAGTAGATAGTTGGTAGTAAATTTACTACGATCTACTTCCATAGCAAATTTACTACACTATACTTTTGTTGCAAATATTCCATAGTAATTTTACCACAACAACGTATTTCCGTTGCAGAAAAAATATGACGGAATAGGTTCCATAGAAAAATCCATAATAATTCAACTACATAATAACAACATAAAAATATCCATAGTAACTCTGTAAAAATATCAATAACAAAAAATGGTGATATGATTAGTTAAAAAACATTAAAAAATCATTCAATTTTTTTATGAATCAAATTTATAACAAAGTTAATATTCTAAAATTGCAATAACAATAAAAGAAATTACAAAAATTCTTAATAAAAAAATAGTTTATCATCAAGTGAAGTACCCCTTTACCCAAAGCACCAATCAAATTAGTCTAATACCCAAACTCAACTAGAAATCATAAAATGCAATCAATAAAAAGTGTCTCACTGATTATTTGTGCTTCTCATATCATTAACCATGTTTCTCACATCATCCAACTCCATCATTTGTTGGTCTATGGTTTTCTCTAATTTATGGATCTTCCTCTCCGGATGATGTTTCTCAAAACTTGTATCTGGTGAAGTGCATGTTTGAGAGGAGTTTTCACGAAAAATGGACTTGCCATATGATCCAGCCGATAAAATCTTTTCTTACGCTCATGTCATCCAACAGCTGCATAAAACAGTTCACTTTTAGGAACTTCCTCTCCTAGCAATGCTAAATCCGCACGTCGAGACACAATCAAATCCTACAATGATATTTTTGCATTAATATATTTTTATACAAGATTTTTTTAATTCCTTTTATCAAGTAAATTACGAATAAACTTACATGAACTTCATTAGCTTTGTCAACTTGAAATGTCTTTCCGTCATGATCCTTAATATAAGTAAACATGAATAGTTCATAGCATGATGGAGCTTTTCCCGTATATTCCTCCTACATTAATACCAAATATATGTCAAATATCACCACAAGATGTAATGAAAGAAATAAATTATCATACTAGACTTTAATATTTTATATTAACCAATAATAAGCCAAGAATGTGGTTATATTATATAGGTATTATAGGATGTTATAACACTTTTCAAAAAGTATTAGATGAAATGAAAATAAGATGTTAAAAATAATATTAATAGTTAAAATACACATAGCATATCAGCAACAATTTGTTGATGTGAAGCCGATCCACCATTATGGGTAGGTGGGGCTTTTCCACCAACTACACCTTTACACCTGTTTTTTTTTTATTTTTATCTGGTTTTTTCTTGAAGTCCTTTGAATTCCGTATTGCATTCCAAGCATTCTATACTTGTATTTCTATGTGACATGGCTTTTCACGAGTTGGGTTTCTTGTGCTTATGTCATAGATGTACCGTCGATATCTTTCTTTGGCCTTTTGTTCCCAAGCAGCCTTGATGACTGAGTCACTAACAACAACTGGAATTTTTTCTATAAGTTATAATAACAATTAAGTTATAATAGGTGAACGGTCTATCTAATAATTACACAAACGCATAATAATAAAGAATCTACCTGAAGCTCTTCCCAATAAAAATGTTTTATCTCTTAGCTTAAATTTATCTATTCGCTTAAATTTCCGCACTTATATCTATTTTCGTCCACTTTATCTAGGAATGATTTCGTAATTATGGACGAACATTTACCTGATGATAATAATCTAAAAAACAAAAAGAAAATGCATAATAATATGAACTAATAAAACTTAAACAAAAAATATGAAAATCAATTAGTATTTTCACTTACGCATTTGCCCGAACTGTAATATGCAAGCGTTGCTCTAGCTGCGCATCTTGTTGCTCAGTAGCAACCGGTGTCGATGTGGCTATTGTTGAGGAAGGGGTAGACGATGGGTTTGTTGTAGATGAAGGGGATGATGATGTGGCTGATGTGGATGAAGGGGGTGATAGGGTACTAAACAGTGGGGCTGATGCAGATGGAGGGGGCAGATAGGGTACTAAGCATAATGGGGGTAGATGTTGTCGTTAGTGTCGGTGTCGATGCAGGGGCAAATGATGGTGTTGGTGTGGATGAATGGGTGGTTATTGGGGCTGATGGAGTACCAAACAGTGGGTAGGTAGATGTTGCCGGCCTCATAGTCGGGGTGGATGCTTCAGTCGTGTACCTTTGTAACAACCGATGCATGTTCTTGTGTGGCCTTGTTGGATGTCCTTTCAATGGGAACGGAGACATCTCTTATGTTATAACAAATTAGAAATGAAATATTATAAGGAAGCAAGGTTTACACATAAACACACAAGGTATATTGAAACTGATAAAAAAATATGATAAAATCAAGAAATATGGTAGACAACAACATATAAATGACGGATAAATGAAATATTTGTGGGTATCTTTCCTTTTAATGTCTGCCTACTTTTCTGTAAAGCCAAATATGGTTGTCTAGTTGCACTAAAGATTGTAGAATACGAATATACAGGAATGTGAAATATATAATCAATTTACTGTATTGGAAAATTTATTAGAAGTATCGGAAAAGAAATTGTAGAATAAGATGTAAAGGTCGATAGTTATCAGTCGGTCGATGGTTTTCCCCCCAATCTCCAAGTCAGAGATCGATTCTCCAAGTTGGAGATGCCAAACGCCAAATTAGCAATCCCAATCACGACTGGGACATATTCCGATTAGGTAAAAACATGTTTCAACAATCAATTTTTTAATTCGGTGGGATCTTGATGTAGAAACTAGAGAAGGTCGATCAGATTTATGTAGAAATTGTAGAAACACAAGTAAAACAACATGATTAAGTTTAATATCATTGATACTCATAAAAGATGAAGATTAGGAACAAGTAAAACTCCACTATTAATTTTCCTGCTACTGATAGTTACAATAGATAAAAATTTGGAAGATAGGGGAAGAAATAAAACAAAACATACCTGAAGAGGGAATCACTCTGATCGAAAGCAGCGAAGAAACCTAGAAGACAAGAGGAATGCTTGAAGAGTACACTAACACCCCGCTCCCGAGTTCAACTTAAAGAGAGAAAAGAAAGGAAATGGGAGGAAATGAGAGGAAAGCAAGAGAGAATGGTGCTCCCGAGTTTCATTAAAGGAATGAAGTGGAAGGAAATGGAAGGAAAACTTTCCCTCCTACCTTTCCTCCCGATTTGGGAGGATTTGAAAAGAAAGAACAAAATGTTTAACTTTCCTTCCATTTCTCTCCAACTCGGGAGCACAAATGACAATTTCTTTTTCCTTTCTTTTCTCTTCTTTTCTCTCCTTACTTTCTTTTCTCTTCTCTTCTTTTCTTTGCTATAACTCGGGAGCGGGGTGTAAGTTCTCCTCGACGTGGGCAATAAATGGGGAAACGGTTTTGAAGGGAGTGGATTTAGGGAGATTTGTTTTGCAGGGAGTGGGAAGAACATATTAAAAATTTTGAATTTCTAATTTGCTTATAATTTAGTAAATGAGAAGAGATATATGAACCAGGAAAAGGTAATACACGAAGGTTATATATGGTATAGATTTAAGATGAATAACGAATAAGTAAAATGTCATATCTTCTTGTATTTTTGTCAAATATATAAGAGTACTGTATTATTTTTTAGAAAAGAAATAACCATGTTCCTTTTACTGCAGAAAATATAAGTAGGTTATTTTTATTTGTATAAATAAATCTAAGTAGGTTGTTTATTTCTTTCAATAAATATAAGCATGTTACTAATTCTTTTAAACAATATCTATATACTATAAAAGAAATCTTATTATTTCTATAAATAGAATCAATATAATAATAATATTTTTTTTAAGATGTTTAAGTCTTTAAGTTTAAAGTACAACCAACTATTAATATAATAATATTATAATATATATCTTACAAATGATAATGCTAGCGATACAAGTATTAAAAACCCATTTAAATTAGTATTTCCTTATTTTTAGGAATTGAATTAGTATTTTCATCAATTTTGACCCACCTTATACTCCTAAAATATCTATTCTCTGGTATCTGGTGCATTCGAAACCTGAAACACTTCTTTTCGACAAATCGTTTGAAATTTAAAAGCTCATTCAAATTGGAGTTTCCTAATTTTTTGCATAAAATATAGTTGACAGGAGACTAATTCAAATCTTCATCTCCTTTTCCTCCATGGATTCTACCACCACAATATTTTTTGGTTTTGACATTCCATTTTTTATTTTTGTGAAACCGATCGATAATGGTGCAAGTGTTCTTAGAAATATAACATGTCTCCGAATGAAACTAATTGCTTGAAAGAAACTATTCGCCGCCGCCGCTTTGCACGGGCAAACCGCTAGTGTATATATATATATATATATATATATATATATATATATATATATATATATATATATATATATATATATATATATATATATATGGACCATTTACATAACTTTGTTTGACATAAGGACCATTACTTTAATTTTATTTAACACAGGAACTACTACTGAAATTTCATGTTAAACAGTGACTATTTGTTTATAATTTGACTAATTTTGACTAACCAAAGAAAATAGAACAAATAGTTACTTAGAAGGGTCCAAATTAAGTGTCTGATTTAGACTATAACTTATATATTCTATCTTTAATAAATTCTGACAACCAAAGATTTCACGAGTTCTTTACTTATTTAGAAAAAGAAATGATGTTTGTTGTTTGTTTGATTTGCTGTAATTATGACCAAATTGCCATTATTTGTTGGTTTTTCCGCAATTATGAGCAAACAACCCTATTATTTGACCACCTGACCTTATGTATTCCTACAGTGGTATGAGAGAATTTCTTTTTTCTAGATAACTAACATTCCTTTTATTAAGCTTCATAGTGTATATGATAATAATTCAAAAAATCATTTTTAAAAATAAATAATACTTGCCCTTATATCCCATTTTGAAAATAAATAATACATGATAATAATTCAGAAAATCATAACGAAAATGCCCCTGATGTTGTTGTTGTTGTTGCTGTTACGTGATTATACTTGATAATAATTCAAAACCATCATGACCAAATTGTCCCTGATGTTGTTGGCAATTTGACATCTTAAGAGTTTTTTGACGAAAATGCCCCTCCATATTGTTTTTTGATTAAAAAGTAACTATTTTAACAGTTTTGACCAAACTGCCCCTTTGTTGTGATTGTTGGAATCCTAAGTCGATGAGGACTTGGAGACCAAGCAATCTAATTTATGGAAAGTTTAGTTTATGACAAGTTGGTCATAAGTTTCCTAATCTAATACAAGTTGGTATGTTAGGCTATATATACGTGTCCATAATCGAGTTTATGATTATGAGAACAGATTGTAAAAACATTGGTTTTGAGTGATTTTCCAATTAATCAAAGAGTTATTTTTGTTATTTTGTTTTGCATTCTTGTTTTCAAAACTTTAGTGATTCCTTTAACCGTGACAAAATTCCCCTCTCTTCTGATTCTTTTAGATTCAAGATAACATTGTTTTAAATGAAAAGATCATATCTTAGCTTGTTTACATGAATTCTTTCTAAACCTAATAACTCATTTTCCCCACCTTTTTCAAGTTACTGTTAGAAAAATAGCAAACATCAAGTTATTTGCTACTGTTTTTATTGTTTATAGATTCATCAATGTTTCCACCAAAAACGGGAGTACGAGAGTAAAAAAGAAAGAGAAAGGCTGATAACAGGGGAAAAACTGAGCATGAACAAAACTAGAGCAAGGGGCAAAGCCGTCCATGATTGCAAAAAATACAATAACCAAGGTATAGATCATACCAAAATGAAGAGTAAAATCGTATAAACATTTCCACCTCATGATCAAAATATTGTAGACAAACACAGGCCACATCAGGTGCCAAATGGAGTCAGGGGCATTACCGTCCAGATCATATGATATCTTTTTTTGATTTTCAATATGTCCAATTTTACCGGAGGAAATTCCATATTTACCCCTGAACATGTTATCATTTCCCAACATCATTAACCAAAGTTTCCACCAAAAAGAGTGCAAGAAAAATTGAAAAGACTAAAATACCCTTGCTAGGAAAAAGCAACATAGAGTATATGAAGAATCACAATGTGCCCTTTACCTTTTCCCTTTCCTTCGGTACACGAGGAATGGTCGGGGCATTTTATAAAATGCTTTGTACTACATCAACTAAAATAATTAAAGTAAAATACTATAATAAGAGGAAATGAATGTATCTTGGTATAGCAAATAAATCAATACCACTATCCAAACGCGACTTAAAAAAAAACAATTATGATGGCTCTATAATCATGCTGATATGTTGAGTTACATGCATCAAAAGATTTTCTGGGCCTAATATGTTAATGTTGCGGTTGATGTGCTGATATGTTGAGTTACATGCATAAAAAGATAAGGATAATATGTTTAAAGGTTGCTCAAATTCCAATTATCTTTTCTTAACTGTTGATAATTAATATTAAAAGAGCAAAAGGGTGTTTCTTCTTGGGTTGAAAAATAAAAAGTTTCTACTTGTATGTCATAATATAATACCACCAATGTGAAACATGCTTAATGCCATTGCTGAAACCATCAATGGAGGTCTTACTCTTTTCTGTTCATCATCTAAATTTTTACTATCTGTAAAGTTGTAAAGTTGCTAAGCTGTTCATCATCTAAATTTGGAAATTTTTTTGAAGTATTTAACTTGTTGCTTCATTTATGGAAAAATGATTGGAACCCAAAACCTATGATTAGTGTATGGGTTGAACCCAAGAAACCGAAAAACCGTCCAAACCGACCTCAGAACGCGAAAAACCGAACCAACCAGAAACCGATCCTATTAGGTTCTAAAAACAGAAAGCGGTTGGGTTGGGTTTGGGACCAAAACCGACCCATGCATGTACAACCCTATTTTCTTCTATTAAGAGGTTTTGTCCAGGTCTAATGCGCATCGGAAAGCACCACAATCGATCAAACAAACGGGATTTGACCAGCCCCCTACCAAACTATTTCTAAGATTTTGGCGGTTCTTGCTTACCTCAAATGCAACGTGGTTGCTACTAAAGTTTGGACTAACAATTTAAGAAAGGCTTCAATCTTAAATATTAGATGTGGGAATCGGTTTTGGTTTATGGGTTTTTTGGTTTCCTTGAGTCGGTTTCCTCGGTGTGAGTCGTGACTTCAAGAGGATTATGAGTCGTAAATACTGAATACTGAAAACCATAAAAGGTCTAAGGTCTAAAATGTATTTTACTTTATAT